GACTACTCCTCCTCTCTCTCTCTCTCTCTTCTCTCTCTCTCTCTCTCTCTCTCTCTCTCTATTTTCATTTTCTTATAACAAAGTAGAAAAAAAGTCGAAGAGAAAAAGTTTGTCGTGCGCGCGCGGTTCCGCGTTATTGATTCAACGCATGATTACACTGTTGTGCGTGCATCTTTAATTAAAAATGATGTACTTGTCACTCCGGGGTGAAGTTAACTCATCGTAACATTCTAGACAAATGTACCTGTCAGGGTGATAATATTTCTGAGCGTACCGAGACAGATAATACGTGTCGTCGGATTCTAAATTGAATTTTTATGTTTGCTCTCCTCTTGTGATGACGAAAAAACGATTCAGTCGCTTACGATACATAAGTCCTGAAACTTTCTCTTAATCTAAGAGAATGAAATGCAGATTAAAACAAATGATTCATGTTTCAGTTTCGAAACATTGGATTATGAAATGTTAAAAGTTAAAAAAACAATGACAAATTAATCAAAATCATTTTTATTGCAATCTGTAACGCACACGTTTTAAGAGATAAATAATCTCTAAATTATATGTATAATTTTAATTCACTTTTATATTCAAAAATGGACCAGAGGATTGAATAAAATGATTGTAACTAAGTATGTAAGACTTAGACAAAATTATCACAAGTATAATTAGAAATATTCATATTTTAATCCTATGTCGGTTTAAGTTATACGTTACGATAGTATCGTGTCGTCGTAAATAGCATTTATTAAAATTAAGAGAATTTTTTATTTTTGATCTTTTCTAGAGAAGGTATACCTAGATATAGAATAAATCCTTTTTGGTTATCATATTAATAATGAAACCAGTCAAAATTGTATCAGTTTCAATTCTTGATGAACCGTTTTGCAACACAAAGCGGATAGAGAAAATTGAATTCAAAGGATAGAAAGTAAGTTTTAGAAAGATCTAATGAACGATTATGGCTCGTTGGCAAGATTATCGTCGTTCCTCCGAAACTTCTCCAGCAAGTTCACCGCTTTATCACGGTGCTTATTCGTAGAACGATCCAAGGACTACACGACACGACGACGATTTTAAAAATCCTGCAGCGTAGGGACGCTGGAAGCGGTACGACAAGTATATAAGAGTATATTGTATACGAGAGAATGTCGCCACAGGGCCTCGTCTCGCCGCCGAGACGCCCCCGATATCGGGAACCCGCGCTACGAACGAGCCCTCTTTTATCTAAATGACGTGTTTTCGTTCTCCTTATCTTGAAGAGACTCCAATACATTTGACTGCCAATGCGTTTACAGATATAGGCGTTAGGCTATGGCTAACCTGCTATTAACATTCCGAAAACGCGATTTTCAACTCGCATTTTCTTCAAAAAGTTCGTTCGCCATGATAATAATGTCTCAACAAATTGTGTTAACAAATATCAAACTAAATACAAGAAAAAATATCCCACAAGGAGAACTCAACGCAGTTTTGCTTAATCATCGTCGATGAAAAGCATAATAGCATCATAAAATCTCACCTCCATTTTGTCCGTCTATTTTGGAACCAAGTCTTCACCTGCGCATCCGTCATCTTTAACGATTTTGCCAATGCCGCCCGTTCGGCGGAGGCCAGATATTTCTGTTTGTGAAAGCGTTTTTCCAACTCCGCGATTTGTAGTCTCGTAAAGCTCGTTCTCGGTTTCTTCCTCTTCGGTGGTGTTCGATTCTGATAGGGATGACCGATCCGTCTCGGAAATGCTCCGGCCACTATGACAGGAAAAAGGGCATTGATAAACGATATTTTAGATAATAGGTGATATTCTGTGAGTATTACATCAATGTGTGTTATGTGTTGTTATGATAATCGCATTCTAGATAGGATGTTAAAATTCAGAAAGTTGTCGATAAACCTAAAAACCTAAAAATCGAAAAGTCTAAAAACGTTGAATGAAACAGATTATATTATATATTATATTATTATATATTAAGAGATTTTATTTAAAATATGCCTAAAACGTAACCAATTTGTAACTTATTTATTGTTGTAACTTATTTATTTATCTAAATTATTATAATGTTAATAAATAAACAGAGATAGACAGGACAAAGTTTTAGAGACAGACAATATCATAATTTATATTCGTTAAACATCTCTCTCCATCTCGTGTTCAATATCCGTTCGTTCCGTCCTTCTGTTATGCTCGAAAGATAGTTAGAGTCGCTTAGTTCGCTTATTTCGCTCTCGTAGTAATAGCACACGAGAAACTACGCTAAATGCCGCATCTGTGTATTTGTATACGTAATGAGAAAGTACATGATATTATCAATTTCACGAAATCAATAAAAAAGCGGAGAATCAGCCGCCAGATATACGACTTGTATACTAAATATCGCAAAAACGAATCGTCACATTCAATTTTTCGCTAATGAATTAAAGCACAGTTCCCGAAGAAAATCCAAATGCTCAGATGAATTTAGTATTTATGCTAATCTATACTAATTTATACTATTCATAAACAAAAACAGGCTCTCAATTTACAAACAGATATCGCCCTCTTTGCTTCTCTATTCATAAAATTATTTACAAAAGAATGATGACATTTCCATTTTTTATTGAGATCACTTATGTTTTAAACACTTTAGACTGTTTTATTCAAAATAGTTTTATTAGTTAATTATACATACAAGATTCTCTGCGTTGCATATATAAGTAAGTCTAATTTATTGTTCAATTCTTAATCTGTATCTGAAATTTAGAGTTTATTAATGGTTATTTCTTTTATATTTCTTTACTTTAATATTTAGAGAATTGTACCAAAACTTTTTGTCTATCTTATTTAACATATTGTGATATTGACAACATGTATTTAAAATTTTTGATCTTCATTTTAATGTTCATTTTAATTTTCGCATACCCATCCTGAAGAAAATTATTGATATCGCATACATTTTTTCCGATTAATATAAAGATCATATCAACATAAGTATCGAATAAGATCTTAAGATTTTGTTAATATTTAGCGTTATTTGATTTATAATTTGTATTGAAGATGATCAAAAAGCGGGACCGAAACGTTTACATTTGTTCTAATTTGTTTATTAATATATATTTACATATTAATAACTTATGTTAGTTCTGTATTGGCATTACCTGGTTCCATTTTTTATTTAATTATTTGAATCTAAATTCTATCTATTTCATTACTAGTAATTTATATTAATTACTCTTATGAGTAATGTTTTCCCCATAGGTCTTATTCAAGCCAGGCGCCAAATTGATTAGGAGATTGGGAACGAAATATAATATGTGGATACAAACTAAAAACCGTTCACAGATTATAAAATTATATTATGTCTGCCCGACAAGCCTGCAGTTATTTTTGCAATATGTTAATATAACCAATATATTTATTTCAATGCAATTCCAAAACACGGGATGGTTAGATAAGCAGCATACAATATAATAGTTTATATTTCCAATTTTGATTTATCGTTAAATAACACGAATAATACACTTCAAAGACTTTCTTATTATGCCTCGTATGAATCGGATGAAAAATGCCTTTAGTGTGTATTTATATAAATACACACTAATGAGTGTTGGCCATTTTACAAACATTTCTTCGATGCGAAAGAAACGTAAAAGAACTATAAGAATCTATCATATTTTTATCAAAGATTGTACTGACGACAAGATTGTACGTTACTAAAATAAGAGTGGAACGGATATTTCTCTTCGTCTTGTCAACTGTTGGCTGGACCCTTCTTCCGCATAATTTGCTGAAAACCAGAGGAATCATTGTTAAAGGGTGAAAAGGCCATCGAGCTAATATTATCCCATTATATACCCCCTTTTTCCTACACTACCCCCGTTTTATCCATCCTTTATCGTCCATCCTTTATCGTTACTTCTTGTCCAGAAATACATCCTATCGCGTGGCGATTACGGACGATCTAAATAATAATCTTATTACGCATTCATTTGTGATTCTTTATCGATCTGTAAATGTCAAAATGTGTATCAAATAATCGCAATATCTTGAATCTAAAGTGCAATTAACTCTATCTATATATAAATAATAAAACTTTTAGCAATTTTTAAACAAGATTGAATTGTTTGGTGAATGTAGAGAAATAAAATATGAAAAAAACTCCCGCGATTAGAGATTCGTTAACCGCACAATTCTCGCTCGATTTCTCGTGAAATTACGAAAAACGAGAAATGATTTATAATGCTGTGAATTAATCAACGATACATATAGCATACAGTATATACATGCAATATAATGATTACAATTGATATACGATTTGAAACCGTATGGATATTCCATATGGATTGATTTCTCACAATTGTTTTGCATATATTGATATAGGGAGCGTCGAATAGCACATAATTAATGGCACATAATGGCGATATGGCGAAGCATTATGAAAGGACAATTCGGGTTGTATTCGCACTTCCATCCGACTTCCATTTTAATATTTCCTTACGATTGAGTAATTTGAAAGGTTTGATTTCATATTGGCTCATGTTCTTATTCCGCACTCGCAAAAGGCTTTCTTGCGTCATCGTTTGCGCTTTAGGACGATTGCACATTAGGACGATAATCGTAATATCTATTATACTTTGTTCTGTTACACTAATCTAGAAACCACTGCGCGCCAACATGTGTTTCTTTCTCTTTCTATCTATCTATCTGTCGTAATCCATTCGTAATTACCTTCTTTTGCGAATACACGCGCGATAAGAATTCGCACTCAGCTCCGACAAAGCTTCAATAAAATTCTCATCAAGTAAGCGAGATGACCGAAACGTTTCACGTGGTGCGTTAGTTGATAAATAAATAAATATTCATCGATCATCATATTCCTATAAAAAAGACGCGAGCATGTCTCTTTAACACTGGAACATCAGGAATAGAATATGAAATTCCCAGCCTTTTATTTAGGAAAAGAATATCATTAAAAATTAAATTCTTAAAGTAAGAAACATTCTTAAAGTATTACATTAATAATTTTTACTTTAATAAAGATCGATTATTTTTATTACCGCCATTATTTTCATAATGTATAATATTTCATAATCTAATGATTTTCATTGAACGCTGTTCTTACTCTATGTTTAATATTAAATACGAGTCTTTGTACTTATATTTCTTTATATTATATTAGAAGTGTTCTGACAAATACATCAACAAGCTTTCAACGAATGATGTTTATCATCAAGCAAACGTATACGATCGATAACAAACAATTAATCTGTGTTTGTTACGAAGCGAAGAAAAAGGACGGCGAAGTCACTACACAGCTTTTGGTATTGAAAAAGAGAGAAGGCGATCGTCCCGTGAAACCAATTAGGGTCCGTCTGCCAGCCGCAATTCAGCTTTTAACGATAACGCTCTTGATTTCTGTTAATTAACTGCATTTAAGGCAGTTAATTGCTTGTTTCCAATCTGACAAGTAAACGTGGACGTGGACTTGCATTATAATGTGTAAATATTCACAAACAGGAATCTATCTCATATCTAGGAAAAGATTAATCCGATATTTCTCGGGAAATAGAATATATCAAAATATATTACGAGAAGAAAGCTTTATAAACGTTCGATTTATCTACATAAATTTAGTTCGTGCTCAATTGCGTTTTCGTGTTTAACGATATTGTTGTACGGTAGCTCGGTTGCCGTAGTTAGCAATCGTTAGCGTGTTTAACGACAGTTTAGTCGTTGCGATTTGTCGGACAGTTAAAGTGATTTCGACATCGCGCGCAGAGGCTGTTCTACCACACAATTTCAAGATATACTATACTAGTAAATCTTTGCGGTTGAAGCGTTTAACTGTGTCGACAATTTCCGATATTAAGGATCACTGGTCGTCAAAAAGATATTTCCAAAAAAGTTTCTATATTTCTAAAGAGATTTTAAAGGACCGGATAGTATAAAAAAAATGATATTTTTTCTTATTATGTATAACAAAGAAGATAAAAAAACATTCATAAAAATAATAATAATATGAAATAAATAATAATATGAAAGTAATATTAATACTATATTTTAAACTATTTTAAACTATGTATTCTTATGTTCAAGAAGCGCGCTATATTAGCTCTATTCGCATTCTATTTTTGATTTATTTTTGATCTAATAAGCAATAAAGATAAATATATTATTTGACAATAAAACATTAAAAGATGCTAAATAATTGAAATATTTTCTTTAAATTATATAAGGAAGATAAGACGATATATGATAAGAAATCACAAATTTTTTAACAAGATGATTAAAGATTGAAAATTATTCAAAATAATGATCAAAATATGATGCTTATTAGTATTAACATATTAGTAATAACATAAATATAAATTTATAATAATTAGATAATTTCCTTTCTAATATAATAATTTACAATGTTTATATATCAAAATATTTTGCTCGCGACAGAGCATAGCAAGGAAGGTCATAAAATAGGAAGGTCATAAAATTAAGATAGCAGCATAACGTGTCGCGAAATGGTCGACATAAATAAATAATACAACGCGCGCAATACTCTTCTACTCTCTAAAATCGAATTAGTGTATTGTCACTGAGAAACAATGAATAGACACTGATAGTCTCACTTATAAGTATAACACTGCAAATCAGTGCAATTTCACTAAAAGAATCAATTAAAAGTAATGACTGCTTCTATCAGTGATATTTGACTTTACAAATGTAAAATATTGTTCGTGTATTAAAATACTATGCTTAAATCACTCGGATAATTTTAGT